AGTTATTTCCAAGCACCGAACTACTCCGAGCGACTGCTCTGCATTACACGTAACTTACTTTGTAAAGCGGCTCAGAAGTATGTCTGATACCAAATGTACATTCTAAATTCCAACTTACATAAGGCGGCCATGCCTTTGTAAAAGTAAGGGACGTTCGGCAGGGAAATGGTAATGACTGCCAGGTGAAGAGTAAGTTGTTAATAAGGTATTATTACGTGCTCCTAATTCCCACTGGGTATGTTTAAACTCATACATGTACATACATATACATTTAAGTCTATGAACAAATCTCACAAGTTGTTACATTTTTCGAAAAAAGTGGTTTTTGGTCGAAAATGGTGGCACACCTACCTTGAACAATGCATTTTGCATAAAAAACAAGACTTCAATTTTTATATACAGAATTAAGATTATTCTTAATTTCTTCATGATCCAATGAACGAGTTTAAACCAAAATAGTATGGGACCCTTTATAAAAAAAAATTATAGAAATCGGTTGACGTGGTCTAAAGTAACGCGGTAACATATATAAAAAAAAATAAAAATATATTTCGACGAGTTGATAACCTTTTCCTTTTTGTAAAGTCGGTTAACAAGCCACAAAAACAGCTCGGTTCATATATCCATAGTTGTGCATGTAACGTATACGCCCTGCAGCACCATACACAGGCAGCTACCACGTTTACTCGCACGCATAAACATTCTATCTGAAAATTTCCCAAATTAATTAAAAACAAATTATGATTTTTTCGAACGACAATGGAAAATAAGTAATTTCGGTACTTTTTCGCCTAAATAAATATTTTAAAGCTAAAACATTTAAAGTACTTTATTTATTTTTTATCAAACTTATTTCTGGAGCTCCATTAATTGTTTAGCGTTTTTTTTTCTGGCGAGAGAAGGGATTGACACTAAAAAAAACAAATCGTGAAATTTGCCCATAAGCTCATTATCTGTTAGAAGGTATGAATATTATTGTATATCAATGCATCTAGCGATCGTTGGTGTCCTTGACGCGGGGCTAGATCT